GAGACCGTTACCCACCCTCCCCCGCGCGCGGGCGGCTCCGGGGGCGACACTGCGTCTCCAGAAGCCCGAGTTCGGGAGCTTTCCTCAGTCCTGACACTAGCTGTGAAAGTGCCTGTTGTCTGGAAAAGCTGAGGGAAATTCAGCGGGATTTAGGCCTTTTCAAGTGTTAGAAATAATCCCCGCAACGGGTACGTTCCGTCCCCTCAAATGTTAGCAGGCTCCGCGCTGCCTACTGCACGTTTCAGTTAACTGTTCGCACTGAACTTTTCTCTTTAAGTGGTATTTCTCTGACATGGATTTTAAAGGCAAAGTGAGAGATTTTCTTGCTTGGAAACCTGCATAACTTTGACATCTGAGAGCTCAAGGTTGACTCATGGTAAGATTTTCCACTTTAACAGATGAAGGGGATTTGGTTTTAATATAGCTAAGTAATAAGTATTTCTTTATCCGATTTGACAAGTGCTTTAAAAATTTGTTTGTCTATTTATTAATTAAGAGTACTGTAGAGATAATTGTTCTCAACCCGTTATCAGGAGCCTGGTGTTAAAAACTGAATATTCGGGAGGCTGGTTTGATTCATCAGAGAACTGCTGAGTCAATAAAAGTAAGTCGGTGGGCATTCCATCCATGGTTTGGCATGAATACTTTTAAATAATTTAAAAATTAGCTTTGAAGAGCCACGTTTTGTTCCAGACCAATGTCTTAGGGTAGTGGAAAGATGAACATGTTGATAACAGAGGCAGCACGTTTGAGGCAACTTCAAACGTGTACGTGGACAGGAGAAAATTAGCAAGTGTTGCTTGTGTGTCTGTAGCAAGCAGCCTGTGGTTTTTAGCGGAGAGGATGATCCCTGCATCCCCATTTCGTTTCTAACAATTTCCCTGTTTCCCAAAGTCTAGCACGGTGAGACACCTAGTGGTGAAGCTGTGGAGCCGTTACATTTGTTTTAACTTTTTTAAAAGGATTCCTTGACCTAATTTCACTCATGAGTGAAAACTTACTTAATAGAATGATTCTCAGAGAGGGGGAAACATTCGTGCTTGGAGGTGATTTTTTTTTTTTTTTTTTAAGTATGGAACACTTCACGAATTTGTGTGCCATCCTTGGCGGGGAGCCATGCTAATCTTACCTGTATCCGTCCAATTTTAGTATATGTGCTGCCAAGTGAGCACTGGAGGTGAAAGTTTAAAACACATTCTATCTTATTAATATATTGAAAACAAAAATTGTTTTAAAATATAGTACAAATTATGGAATGCAAAAGTTGATAGCTGGTAAGCATGTGCAGAAGATAGCAGTGATTCCCAGGATCTAAGGGAATCTAGGTCAGACGGAAGTGTGGGAAATTTACCAGAAAGGAATATAGGTTGAGAAGCACTTAGATACTTTGCCCAGTAATGATGCTCTTCTAATAATCATTATAAAGAAACCATTTCATTTTGTGGTTAGAGTAGCAATTAAAAAACACACACACACAAAACTTCATGCATTCAAATATTTAACTGATATAACTTAGGCATAAATGTCTTTCCCATGATAGCCAAAATATATCTTCCCAAGATCTTTTAATAGAGAAAAATCATATTTGGTCTGGAGAAAACTTTGAAAGATTGACAGTTGTCTCAGTATCCTCTGAATAATCTGGAGAAATATCAGAAACAATGATAACTGTTTTACCTTCCTTTGAGTTAAGATTTACTTTGAGTTTCTAAAAAGAAGGAATGTGATGATGATACTGTTGAAAAAATTAAGGAGTAAAGTATTTGTTAGTGTCATTCCTTACAAATATAATTACTGAGTCACATTTCTTCTTTAAGTAATTTACTTGAATTCTTTATTTGGAATTTCAAAAACATTATAAAGGGTGGGTTTCCCACAAGTAGTTGTATTTTAGTGCTGTCAAAATTATAATAAAATAATGTAAAAATGATGCTGCCAGATTTTTTCTCCTCAAGTATAGTTCAAGAAAACATTTGTGCATGATGCTTAGACTGTGCTTAGTCAAGCAAAAAAGTAACTTTTTATTGTCATAAAATTTCTGTTATTATCTGTACTCATCACAAGTAGTATATTTTGGTGTAAGCTCTCAGGCTACTCATTTCAAAGGAAGAATAAAATTTGTTTTCACGTTTTAGAAACACATTTTGAAGATGTCAGAAAGGCATTCAGGCCAGGTTGGAACTGGAGCAGGAAATGAGATGGACACTCCTACTGTCAATTTCAAGTACTCCAGCTTCAGAGATTTTTGTTCTACATCTTCATTTCAAGATAGTGGCTACAGTGAGTTGTTAAAATCTTGCAGCTTTGATAATACAGATAAAGACATTTTTGGAAAGGAGGAAAAAGGCCCAGCATTAAATTATGAACATTCTGAAACTTCAAGTCTGGGCTTAACACATCATTTAGAGACCCCTAAGCAAAAAAAGAGATTTGTCTTCCCTAGGAAAGAAATGAACAAAACCCCAGAACTTTGGGAAACTCCTAAACTCAATGGAAAAAGATGTTTACGGCGCAGAAGGCTGGATATGTCTTTCTCTCCTCTAAAGCGAGGCTTTGAATCACAAAATAGTTCTATAGAAAGTAGTATAAGCCGAGTTCTCAACTTTGAAAAAAATATTCCGAGCAGTGCTTCAGGTTTTCCAAGGCAAAATAATTTTAGTGCTTTAATTAGTAGTACTTTGAAAACAGAAGAGGCAACTTCAAGCAGTCAAAAACTGAGACTTAATTTTTCTCAACAGACGACTTCTACAGTTGATGACTCCAAAGATGACTGTAGCCTGTTTGAAGTTGAATGCATATCTCCAATTCAGGGCAATAATTTTAAAGACTCTCTCACCCATGACTTTAGTGATAGTAGTCTATGTGTTAGTGATGAGAACACATGTCCTGAACTTCTGGGCTCCTCTGGTAGTGGAACAACTTGTGAAACAGATGAGGACATATTTGTGACTCCAGTAAATAACCTTGTTGCAAACATTAAATTTAAGGTAAATCAAAGGCTTTTTCCTTCAACTGAAGTGAGAGGCAATTTTTCAACACCTGAAGACAGTGGTTTTAACTCACTTTGCCTGGATAGATCAGAAGAGTCCCTCTCTGACCAGGAGAGTTTTTTTCAAGAACTACCTCAGAAACGTAAGGGGACTCTCAAAGCGGGGGCCACCGTAAGAAGGTCAAGGCGTCTTGGAAGGTTGAGAAGACTGTCCACCCTCCGGGAGCAAGGCTCACAGTCTGAGACGGAGGAGGAAAGCCACAGCATCCACTCTGACTCGGAAACAACCCCAGCAGCTGCTTCAGACTTCTCAGAGAGCCAGCCCGGCAGTGACAGTCAGAGTGGGGACTTGATTTTGGGCTTTACAGATTTATCCAACACCCCAGCCTTGCAATTAGTGCATGAGCTCTTCATGAAAAACAGAAGGAAAAGATTCCAGCAAAAGGGGGCACTCGAATTCTTAGAAGAAAGAGATGAGGGGAAAATAGCTGTGCTGCAGTGTGTGCTTGCAGGACTGATTGGCAAGAAAATGGGCATAGAAAAACTGGACATCTTAACCGAATTGAAATACAGAAATTTAAAGCATATTCTTGCAGTTGTTTTAGATTCCTTGACTGCAGAAAGCCTATGCAGGTAAGAAAAAAAAAAAAAATTCTGAAATAAAACCGACTTTTATCAATTTTTAAATTAATTATTTAATTATTTAAATCTAAAGATTAAAAAAAAAAATTTTTTTAAATCCTCACCCGAGGATATTTTTTCCATTGCTTTTCAGAGAGAGTGAGAGAGAAACTTCGATGTCAGAGAGACACATTGATTGGTTGCCTCCTGCAGGGGATCGAGCCTGCAACAGAAACATTGGCCCTTGGCCAGAATCAAACCTGGGAACTTTCAGTCCCTGGCCCAGTGCTCTAACCACTGAGCTAAACTGGCTAGGGCTTTACCACTTTTTTTAAAGTTGGAAAGCTTTTCTATGAGTAGTCCTGTTTTTTATTTGTTTTGTCATCTCTATCTGGTTGTCTTACACCTTATCAAAGGTGGTTTAGTAAACTTCCTGATAGAGCTCACTAGTACAGTTTCTTCTGTTTAAAAGCCTGCTTTAGAAGTGACAATATAGTCCTCTTTGGAATAAAGTTCATGTCCCTGTCATTTGGAAGGAGAATTTATAAAAGTTGTACTTCAGATTTTCAAAATGATAAGCTTTATTTCACAAAAGTTATTTAACGATTTATTTAATAGTTCACATCCTGTTGTCAAATTGCAAATTGTAGTCAAGTTATGGTACTTGGTCAGAAATAATGTAAAGCATTATGGCAACTGAGAAATGGCAATATACAAAGGATAGCATTTAGTTATTTAAGTTCTAGAATCCAAAAACAATGGTTAGCTTTTATTTTAGGGTTTGGTCTTTCCAGAGACCAAGGGAATATAGATTATTTCATTTTAATTGCTAACACAGCAGTGGAAATTAATGACTTTTGGGAATTTCAAGGAATTAGAAATTGAAGAATTTGTAATCCCAGAGATTTCAGTGTTACAGAACTAAAGAGAAACTAAGACATTTAGGAGTATTAAGGGTGGGAACTAGGGTTACTAAGACTAAAGTGAGACTCTGTTCATACCGGCAATTTTGGGGAGTCACAGAGCTAAAAGAAGACAAAACCCTTAGGAATGCCATAACTAGGAAGGAAGGAAGCCATGTGGAACAGGATTTCTGCAAGGTCATGGTTGGGGGAGGACACGCAGGAGAGTTAAGTGAACCTCTTTTTCCATAGGGATACGCCAAGAATCCTTGCTGTTTTATGGCCACACAACTTCTATTAGAGCCCTTCTCCCCCTTTCTCCCATAAATTACTTGTAGGCAATCATAGAAAATTGTAGAATTTCATAGCTGGAAGTCTGAGATATCTAGTCCAATCCTATATTTTGAAGATGAGAAAACAGCTCTAGAGAAGTTAAGTGACTGGCCAATAGTCATTCAAGGAGATAAGAATAGATGCAGATCTACAACTGAGTCCTCTGATATCTAATCTAGAATTTTTCCACAAACTTATTAAGGTGTAAAGCCTTTGTGAATAGACTTGATCAGGAATGTACTTGGTTTAACCCAAGCAGGATAGTAAACAGATTACTGCACTTATATGTGTACACCTTGTAAAAATGTTCAAATGAGATAATTTGTTTAAAAAGTAAGAGATGGCTGAGATATAGGAATTTTATTTTTACATGCTGGAGTATTTGGATACCGACCAGTTAAAATAAAAACTTAGGTGATGCTTTAGGGTGCTCATTTGTGAGAGTAGTTGATATTCACTCATATTTCAATAATTACCTCTCCTGCCCAGCCCTCCAAATTTATAGTATTTGCGCTGCAGAATGCATGTATAATGTTTGCAGTGTTCATTCTTGGTAATATGAGATTATAGTTAGTTGAAATATATAGTTCATTTCTTCCCAATTAATGGGTGACTTTCTCCCTGTTCCTTTTCATCAGTCTGCTATAAGATACATGTACCAGTTTGGGGAGGGGCAGTGGCAACTGAAGCAGCCATGGTAGCTGGAAGAATAGTAGTATTCACAACTCCAGTATTAACCTGGGGCCTCTTTAATATGTGACTTTGTTTTTTAATTGTCTTTGAGTGATTAGAGTAATAAAAAGATCAGATTAACAGCTGTAGGATTACCTTTTCTTTAAAAATTAGTATAGTCAAAGTTATTAATAAATAAGCAATCACTGGACATAATTTTTTTCTTTAGGTACTTCATTCTCTTAAACTTTGATTTATAAGATATAAACTTTGTAGTGCTACCCATAATAATATTTATTATTTGATACATAGTACTTCCAATGAAGGATTGATTGTTATGTTTCATTAAAATGACAGATTTGTTAAATACATTTATAGGAGAAATTGATTTTTAAAAATCCCCACAAAACTCTTATACTGTAGATGACCATCATTTGCTGCAAGTCATGTTCCAAATTTTCAATCTTAATATCACATTTGAAGTTAAATCCTCTTAATTAGTCTCTGGTGGACTCATATTAGCTTTTTGTAAAACTATGTTTTTTCTTTAACCATTTATAAGATGATAATCTATCAACATAATGCTGGCATATATTTAATAGGATTTTTTTCATACGGTGAAACAATATGAAACTGATACAGATTGTCATATATATATTTAAATATCTCTTTATTGATTTCAGAGAGAGAGAGAGGGAGAGAGAGAGAGAGAAACATCATTGATAAGAGAGTCATTGGTCAGCTGCCTCCTGCACGCCCCCCACTGAGGACTGGGCCCGAAACCTGGGCACATGCCCTGACCGGGAATCAGACCTCAGTCTCCTGGATCATAGATTGATGCTCAACCATTGAGCCACGCCAGCCAGGCAGGCTGTCATATTTTTAATGTAAATTTTTAGGTTTAAATTTACTGTCCAAAATCTTTAAAAAGTTTTTCTTATTAATTGCCATGTTCAGAAAATGTTAATCTTGTGGGATATATGCTATATAAGGACTGACTTTTTTGTTACAGTGTTTGGAAAGTGAGCAGAAATTGGCGTCAAATTATTGTTCAAGATAAAAAAGCAAATCAGAGGAGGAAATTTTATATAACACGACTGAAAACAGATGCTGAGGTAATGTATCTACTACTTTTCTAAAACGGATTCTAAAATATAAACATCTGTTAATCCCATATTGGTTTTCCTGTCTTCTACCCTGTTCATTTTAGCAAACATTCGCTCTAAACTCTTGACTTTTCCAAACTCCATTTCCTTCTGGACTGTAAGTAGAGTAGACTACCTGGCATCAAGAACATCTCATTGGGTTTTGTAGTTAAGTGTATGTGCTGTTAGTGGTATTTGAATACCAGTGATATGCTGAAACCTATTCACAATTAGATATTCTTATAGCATTTTTTCAGTCTTTTTATTGGATATTATGTGCCAGTTACTTAGATTACAATGATGAACATTTCTGGCATTGTTGCTGCTCTCTCGGAGCTCATGCCTTGTGGGTGATATAGGTAGGGGAGGCTAGAGTTAGTTCTATTGGAAGATTTAAAGGGAGTGTTCGATACTTGAGGATCAGGAGAAGGCTTTTCAGAAAAAGTGCATCTCAGCTGAGACCTGAATGATCAGTTAGCAGATAGCCAGGTGAAAACAGAATAGTGTTTCAGCAGAGGGAATAACATATGAAGGCCTGGAGGTGAGTGAGCATGGCAGACTATGACTGGTAAAGCATCATAAACTTGTACTCCCTTGAAGATCTGAGTTCCAGCTTTAAAGTTACAAAAAAAGTCCTACTTGCTGTGATAGGCATCTGATGACTCTGGCACCCATATTTCTTTTATGTTCGACTTTTAGATGTTTCTGAGACCTTAATACCAAAAGAAACTGAGAGTTCATCCCTTTATTCTTGTCATAATAGAAAGTACTTAATAACATATTAAAGGAAATTTCCAATTTGATTAAATGTAATAATTGAGATGGCCCATGGCATAAAACAAATAAGAACATCCAGATGCAGATTGGTGGGTTTCTCATTACAATGAAATATTAGGGACTGCTGTTAACTAAAACATTGACTTTTTATTTTACTTTGAAGAAAAGTTTTACTGTCTCGCTTGTAATGAGTTGTCTTACAACTCATTCACAGCTCCTGGCACCTTATGCTATAGCTGCTGGCTTTGGGAGCTTATAATAGTGAAGATATTTATTGCTTTCCTAATGTATCTTTTTAGGGTGCTGCCCTACATGCTAACAACAGACTTAAAATACAATTTTTTAAGCCAGCCCCTATTAATATTAAACTTTAAGTCCCAAGTACTCCTTATATCTTATAAGAAAGAAACCTGTGGTTGTGTTTGGCAACCTTTTAGGTAATTCTAAATAAAATATTCTTTCTTCATAGCCTAGCCACCACTTTTTTAAAACTTGATTTCTTAAAGGACTATACTTTTTCCCTTACTTGAACTCTTTTTCCTTATTTTGGTTTGCTTTTAAAAAATTTTATCAAAGTAAAACAAATACATGGTTAAAGTCAAATTGGACAATGAGGCTTATAACAACACATCCTCCTGCCCTATGCCTTCCCACTCTTGGTTCTTGCCATGTCAAGGCAATCACTTTCAACTCTTTAGTTCCTTCTGATATTTACATCCACATTTCTAAGTAGAATGCCTTTACTGCTATTTTTGGGCATTTTTTTTACAGAGATTGTCTGTTCTCTAACCTCTCACCACTACTAGCACTGCCTCTCTACCCACCTCTCTCTGAATGCCTTTCTCCCTTTTTCCTATCTTAATGAATTTAACCACATCATTTGGAAGTGAATCAGAATTAGGTGCTGACATTGTGAAGACTGTTGAGATTACTATGACTTTTTGACAGTTGTAATATGCAGTACACTATGATTAGATTTCTCTCTTATATAACTTTTTTTTTCCAGAGTTAATAATTGCCCAGTTTTTCTTTTTTGCTTAGTGTTTCTCTATACAGGTCCCTGATTCATCTCCTATTATCCACCAGAACTGGAAATCTCCTCTCTGTAAGTCCAAACATATCAGGTATTCTACCTATTCCTTCTCTTCCTCAGACATCCTTTCTGATGTCCTTTGCCCTCTTATTCTAATGTGGACTGGTTGCTTTCTACCCAAACTGCCCTAATGTATCATTAACCAAAGCAAAAATTATGAAACAAAGTTGTTAGATGGTTTTTCTCACACTTGTATAGCGTCACTAAAAGCTCCTTATGTGTGCAAATTATAAAGCACAGACCAGCTACGTGTAATAGGATCTCAATTTTATGTTTGCTTTGCAGCAGTGAGAATGCACATTACAGTTGGAATACTACACCTGTTCCGTTGCATTTCTAAATTTCCTGTATTTTGCACTGTTTTCTTATAATCATGGAAATGAACCATAAAGTGACTTTACTCTCACATTTAAATGTTTTCTGGTAATATGTTGATGACTGTTTCAGAAAATTTTGGTGTTCACAAACATGTGCCTTTCTTATCTGCTTTGCCTTGTATTGTTCAGAGATAGTTGCACACATTTTAAGCTCCAGAACAGGGATTGGACTGTTTAATTCACTTGGCACGTTAGGCATTCCACAAATATTTGTTAAATGAATGAATATTTCTTCTGTGGCTGAAATTTGCTTCAACAACATATCTCTATTCATTCTTTGGTGCATGTAGAATCACTCTGTTTACCAACTTCATAGAAATCCATTGAAATTTTAGTGTGCTGTTGTCATGTACTTGTGGCCTAAGCTGCAAATCATTTATACAATGTAATATAGAGATGTATTGAGTCCTTGAAAAAATTTCAACTGTATTTATTCTAATTTCTGAAAACCAATATTCATCCATTACACTTACGGATATGTTGTTAAACTATTAATCATGTAATCGATTATGACCAACTAACCTCATTTCCTATATTTATCCTACCGTAATTTCTCATGTTTTAGGTCTCCCCACTACTAGGAGTCAATAGTGGCTAAGGGAGACTATCAAAGGAGAGGAAACACAATTATAGTTGGACACATGAGGAAATTTACCTGCAGTTCATTTTATTTTGATAATTGGTTAAGAATGCTAAGTCGTGTTTTAAAAAACTTATTTTTTTTTCCATTACCAACTTCAACAAAATAGAAGGCTGTAAGGATTACTCCTTGAAAATATTTCTTGGCTGAATTATTTTAGTGCTGTGGAAATCCAGTTCAGATAAGAGTGATTTCTTTTTCTCCTTTTAAAATATCGAAGTTGTTTAAAATTAACAGTAAAAATGAATCAAGTATTTACAAGTATTGCAAAAAATAGCCAAACAAATTGAGTCTCATAGTCTAACCAGTCCCATTATTCTTTTGATATGTGACAAAGGTAAGAGACCTTCAAATAATTTCATGATATCCCATAGCAGACTTTTAAAAGGATTCATCCCTTCTTAGACCCTGCCTTAAAACAAGTTGGCAAACTCCAGTCTGTGGGCCAAATCCTGTCTACCACTGTAGAAGGGAGGGAGGGAGAGGGAGGAGGAGAGAGATAGAAACATCAATGTGAGAGAGACACATCATCTGGTTGCCTCCCAACTGGTTGCTCCTACACGCGCCCGACCAGAGGCAGGAAGCGAACCCCAGCCCAGGTACGTGCCCTAGACTGGAAATCAAACCTGCGACCCTTCAGTGATGCTCCAGCCACTGAACCACACTGGCCAGGGCCTGTCACCTGTATTTTTAAATTAAGTTTTATTGGAACTCAGCACTGCTCTTTCATTTACATATCTCTACAGCTGCTTTTGCTAAAAGGGCAGTTGAGTAGCTGCAACTATCTGGCCTGAGAAGTGTAAAATATACACAATCTCGTTCTTTTCAGAAAACTTCTACTAACCCATGCTGTGAACAGAAAAATAGCTAATCATGCAAACTTAAAGCTAACATTTATTTATTAATTTTTAAATATACATTTCAACTTTTAAATGTTAGGTAAGAGATAAAATTATTTATTTTTTTTAATCCTCCCCTGTGGATATTTTTCCATTGCTTTTCAGAGAGTGGAAGGGAGAGAGAGGGAGACATTGACATGAATTGATTGGTTGCCTCCCACAGGGGCTCAACTGGGGCCCGAGATCAAGCCTGCAACTGAGGTATGTGCCCTTAGCTGGAATTAAACCTGGGACCTTTTAGTACCAGGGCCGACACTCTAACCACTGAGCAAAACCAGTGAGGGCTAAGTTTTTTCTTAAAAGGAATGGGTTAGGGAGAAAATTCTAGTGGTGTGAAACTACATCTGATCATTTAAATACATGTGCATTAGAAAGCAGGCCTGAAACTTTTGATATTACAGTATTGACCCCTCTTGTCTTTGCCACAGCGAGCTATATTAAATGTTCAGGATGCTGCCACTCGGCTTCATCTTTTAAATCGATCAGCCCTAAGATCTGTACAAGCTCAGGCTAGGACACCAAGTTCTCAGAAAGAACAAGTTTCAACATTCTCTCCTTGGGGAGAAGTTCTGACACCTATAGCAAGCTCTTCAATTTTCCACTCACACAGTAAACAGGAAGAGTATGTTAAGGTGAGTATTATGTTATTAGAAATAAATACTTAGAGTTTGAAATAAAGTGATTCTTTATATGAAACTAGAAGATTTAGTGTGTATGCTTTTACTGCAGGTTGCCAAAACACTTTTCATTGATGAAGCATTAAAACCTTGCCCGAGGTGCCAGTCCCCTGCTAAGTACCAGCCATATAAGAAAAGGGGGCTGTGTAGCCGCACAGCCTGTGGTTTTGACTTTTGTGTGTTATGTCTGTGTGCTTATCACGGGTCTGAAGAATGTGGTAGGGGAGCAGCAAATCCAAGAAGCAGAAGAGATGCTCTTCCAGGAAGTGCCGAGAGTAAGAGGAACTTAAAACGCCTCTGAAACACCTCTAAAGAAGCGTTAAGTATAAAAGAAGCATTCCCCCGAGCAATGCTTAGTCTGACCTAAAATTATGGATAATTTGAAAGCATGCAAATTTTCCTATTAATGACAGATGATGATTTATTTCCTATTTTGTGTATATTATAATCCATGTCATTGAATGTTTTCTTTAAGGTGGTAAGTTTTGAAGCAATTTTACTTTACTGTGTCACTTTTATCCATTTTAATAACTTAGTGTTTTTAAATAAAGAATTTTCATTGTTATATATATGTATTTGTGTTTCATGTAATATTTAAAGATTGTGCATTTCATCACTATGTGTTGAAATGATCTTCAATCACTTTTAAAAAATAGTTTTCCAAATAATATTAAAATTTTGAACTTGAGATGGTCTTAAAGATTTGGAAAATGAGTATTTGACTGAAATGAAATATAAATGAAATAAAATGTTTTCAAAAGTTCTATTGAATTTATAATTTCAAGATTTCTCTTAATTTGGTGAGTGTCATATTTGGGCAGACTTCTGGTTAAATAAAATTTATTTAATATTGATAACTGAGAAGACATAAAAAGTAAATTATTAGACATGTATGGTTATTTGCAATGGGAATCTTAGTCAATTAATAAACCCCTATAAGTCACACATTTCATATAAGTACTTTTTAAAATTCCAAAACTGTAGTCACAGATTTCATTTGTTTATTCTAGCCTGGGTATCAATATTGTGGCAAATTTGGGCTGGCTTGCAAAGATAAGATTTTTTTAAATAAGAAAATTTATGAAATTGTTTATAAAGTACTTCTTTTCAAAACTGATTTGAGGTTGTATGCTTATTTATAAAACAACAGCAAGAAAGAGATAAGTTCCTTTTTTAAAACTTAAATTCTCTTTATTATTATTTTTTAAATTAAATTTATTGGGGTGACATTGGTTAATAGGATCGTATAGGTTTGATGTATACATTTCTATGATATATGATCTGTATTTTGCATTGTGTGCCCACAACCCAAAGTCAGATTGATACCGTTGTAATAACCTGATTGTTATATAACAGGAAAGGAGTGAAGGGTGAGACCAAATAGTAGAGACATTGCCATTTGTTCAGCTTTGCCAAAAAGCTGCATTTAACACTCAGTCTGTTCCCTGCTCATTGATGGGGGAAGGGACTAGACAAAGGCAGTTTAGATGCATGCCCAGTGAGGTCTGAGTGAGGTGGGAAAATGCTCGCGCAGCAATCACACCTGGAAACAGATAATTGGCTAGAGTGGGTGTGGCCACTGCAAGCACACGAAAAATCAAAATAGATAAACATCCAAACAAAGGAAGTTCGCTTTCTATTGGCTCTAGGGGGCTGGTCCCTCTTAGGACTCCTGGAAGGGGCTGCGCTCCACTATGGCCACATGGTATCTATTGGTGTACCAGGGGAAAAAACCAATTCAGCCTGAAAGGAGTAGTTCCTTAGCTCATGAGTGACTTAACTTCATCATTGAAACACTCAATGAATTGCATGAATATACTGTTATCTAAGAGCTCAGTTCAAGAGAAAGGCCACTGCTCCAGTCCCAAGGTCTTTGTAATCTAAACAAACAAGGCATGAAAACAAGAGTAAATATTACCACATCCCAGTAATTACTACATTCTTACAGGTTTTATTTTATTTTATTTTTTTCAAGTGATGTTTCTTTTTTTCTAAAAAATTTTTAATATTAATATATTTTTATTCATTTTAGAGAGAGGAAGGGAGAGGAAGAGATAGAAGCATCAAGTATGAGAGAGTCATCATTGATCAGCTGCCTCCCATATGCCCCCGACTGGGGATGAAGCCCGCAACCCGGGCCTGTGCCCTGACCGGGGATCGAACCTCGATCTCCTGGATCCTAGGTCAATGCTCAACCGCTGAGCCACGCTGGGCTGGGCCTTACAGGTTTTAATTACCGAGTGAGAAAATAAGTAAAAGTTCACCAAACGTTTATTGATGGTCTATTCTTTGTTCCCAGGAAGATTCCAAAGCAAGAGGAATGACTCAATTTGGCACCTTATTTTGTATTTTGTTTCACTTCTTAATAAGGACATAAGGGAAAGCATGAGTGTTAATTCTGGGGAAGCCAATGCATGCTTCACCTTCTACGGACATAGGATAAGAGCCTCTCTCTCTTCCCCTCTATGGTCTGTCCCTTTGGCACACTTGTTAGCTGATGGGCAGGAATATTCTTTCTATTTGACTTCTACCTGGTTCCAGGAAGGGGAGGTATTTCCTATTTCTGAGCCCATCATTTGGGGAAAATGGGAAGGAACTTGAGATAAGTAATATAAAGAGAAACAACACCTTTAAGAGTTATCATTTTATACTAACATTTCTATGGGTGCAAATAAGGATGTTTAAATTTATCTCAGCTATTTAAATACTTAATAAGCTCTTTACCTGTTATGGATTTCTCAACTGTTGAGAAAACATTTTTGATACTAACTTACCACTATGTAAAGCTAAGTTTTTCCATTACTTTTGCTTAATTTATGACAAAAGGTGAAACTGCCAGAAACTATGGCACAAAAATTTACTGAACATTTTCAACATTTAATTTCTTATGTTCCTTGATTGAATTGTCATTTATATGCTTTATTTAAAATTGTGCCTCTCAAAAAGAGTGTAACATAGAAAATGCTTTAAATGTCTCAAAGACTGGAACACTTGTTATTGCTCCTGTGTGCAGGAGGGGCAATAATTCAACGGTCACACTAAATATTCCACAAGAGGGCACCAAAGACTTATTCATGGTGATTTTGGCTTTCCTCCAAAAAAGTAAATTTAGCTTTTGTGTATTTGACATTGATGTACTGTGACATTGCCAGATAGGGGAAATGTTCCTTGACTTAATTTTTAAAGTGTATATAGAATAAATTTTGGTAATAGTTATTACTCAGAGTTGCTAATTAAAATATTTTAGCTGGCTTGCAAGAGTGCAGTTTTCTGGGATGACTTTTAACAGAGCACCTTGTTGGCAGCTGGGTCTGTGCCTGAGCCACCTGTGTTTACTTGCCCAGCGGCTCTGCCCTCCTGGCTCCCTTACCAGGGGCCGTGGAGTCAGGGAAGAAGGAGCAGTGGAAATGTTGAGGCACGTGCTGGTTGGGGACGGTGGGGAGGCACCACCAGTTATTTCCCTCCAGCATCCTCATTCCTGCCGAAGGTGGTGCTTGGTTCAGGACCTAATCACTGTACCTGCCTAGTTTCTGGACCTGCTTCCTAACAGTTCTTTTTGCTTCTACTTTCTACCCATATGAATCTGTCCTAAATATCCATTGCCAGGTTATTTGTACTAAAATGTGGCTCCAATTATGCTGCTTCCTATTAAAAAATATAGCAGAATTTAGGATCTCCTAATGGTCCTAACTTTCTAGCAGTTTCTCCCACAGTTCCACTCTGTGCACTTTATTCCAGCCAAACTAGACTCCACTGTTTTCTAAACCTCCCCTGCGCTTCCTCCCACTTCCTCTCGTTCTTGCCATACGAACTCCCATCAGATCCAGCTACTCCTTAGTTGCTTTCCATCTTCTGATCTCCCATCAAGATTAAATTTTGACCTCCTTTGAACCTAGTGCTTATTTAGACCTTCCTGGCATTTTTGGCCTACCTAATTTGTGTTAAGCTCTTTACCTGTTTCCACCATTAGCAAGTTCCTTAAGAGCGGAATTGTCTTACCTGGCACTGCACCTCCATCAGCAGAGTGTCTTGTGCACGGCAGATAATGCAGCAGGTATGAATGGCGTTGCTGAATTCACAGCGACTGTCATGACAGGACAGCAGGTCACGGTCCTGTGGTGAATGTGGTGATGCGATGAATGAGAACTGAGATGTGTGTGTGTGTGTGTGTGTGTGTGTGTGTGAAACTCAAACTTGGACCATTTTCTTAACCACTGATACCTGACTGGGGGTTAATTTAACAGAGCTAATGTTTTTTAATAACTTATTAGAAAGTATTTTTTAGAGCAGTTTTAAGCTCACAGCAAAATTAAGAGGAAGGTACAGAGATTTCCCATATGCCCCCTGCCCCCACACATGCACAGCCTCTCCATTACCACCGTCCCCACCAGAGGGGCACATTTGTTTCAATTGATGACTCTACATTGACACATAATCACCCAAAGTCCACAGTTTACCTTAGGGTTCACTCTTGGTGTTGTACAGTTTGGACAAATGTGCAATGATATGTATTTACTATTATGGTATACTGAGTAGTGTCACTACCCTAAAAATCTGTGCTCTGCCTGTTCCTTCCCCTGCCCAACCCCTGGCAACAGCTGATCTTTTTCCCATCTCCTTAGTTTTGCCTTTTCTAGGATGCCACATAGTTGGAATCATACAGTATATAACCTTTTCCAGGTTGGCTTTTTACTTAGTAATATGCATTTTAGTTTTCTCCAGTCCTTTCATAGCTTGATAGCTCTTATTTTTTTTTAGTGCTGAATGGTTTTCCATTGTTTGGATATATCACAGTTTATTCATTTACCTACTGAAGGACATCTTGGTTGCTTCCAAGTTTTGCCAATTATAAATAAAGCTGCTATAAGCATTTATGTGGAGGTTTTTGTGTGGACTTAAGTTTTCAGCTCCTTTAAGTAAGCATCAAGGAGCACGATTGTTGGATTGTGTGGTAAGAGTATGTCTTCCAAAGTGGCTGTACGATCTTTCATTCCTACCAATGAATGAGAGTTCCTGTTGCTCTACATTCTTGTCAGCATTTGGTGTTGTCATTGTTCCAGATTTTGGCCATTTGGAATGTGTGTAGTGGTATCTCTGTTGTTTTATTTTATGATTTTCAATATATTTATTCATAAAATATAGTTCATTTAACACATTTATTATTTGCTCTATCACATACCAGGCTTTGTTTAGCTGCTGGGGCTACAAGAGAGACTAACACAGGTCAAAAAATCTCTTAAGCCCAGCCAGGCATAGCTCAGTGGTTGAGCATCGACCTAGGATCCAGGAGATTGAGGTTCGATTCCCAGTCAGGGTACATGCCTGGGGTTTTGGGCTCGATCCCCAGCAGGGGGTGTGCAGGAGGCAGGCAATCAATGACTCTCCCATCATTGATGTTTCTCTCTCTCCCCCCCCTTCCTCTCTCTGAAATCAATAAAGATACATTTAAAAAAAAAATCAAAGCTCAAATTCATTAAAAAAAAAAGTGGGGCAGGAGAGGAAGAAAAAAGGAGAAAAAGAAAGAAGAATGTTTCCTCCACCTGTAAAAGTTACAATGTCCTAGAGCAATATTAGAGTTTTAAAACTTTAGCTAGGGTAGGGTTAAAAATTGAATTATCTCATTAGTTTGTACAAGAAACAAAGTAATGTAATGGAATATATTGACAATTAGAATAAATCGAAACCAGCAGGTCCAGATGGTAGTTATCTTGGATAAGTTAAGAAATTGCCTAATGAATGTATTAAACTAATTATGTTCCTTCAAAAAATTATGAACTGTTAAGTCAGGAAATAGGAAAAAAACTGCTGTTTTCTAGTTAAATGTGATATGAATATGTGTAGTTGTTATGCAATACAGATATGTAATTTTACAAAAAGGAAATGTGATCAATGGTTATCAAAAAAGAGAATGGAAATAATATATAAATTTTATAAACTGTGTTTCTGATCTTGCTACAACTGCAGTTACTTTTAGGGATTGGAGTGGGGGTAGTATCACACCTTACTGGATGCTGAGTTACATTCAGCTCCTAGGAAAAACATTCTACTGCTTGTCTTGTCGTTCTGATTCATGTATAAAAATTAAAAATATAACTTAGCTATATGTGGAAA